AAGATACGTACGTTCTTGACGATGATCAATTGATACGGTACAGTTTTATCAAACATTGATGTACCTGAGTGATTAAACACATTAGTGCCAATCCATGTAAACTTTGATTCTGCCATTCGTTGAAGAAGATCATCGCGTTTAAGATCAAACTCATGATTACCAAATGTCGTGTAGTCCAGAGCTAGTGCATTCATTCTAAAAAATTTAAAAAAAGGTAAAATGAGTAAACTGAGAAAATTATCTCTATCGTCTTATACAATGAGATGACGAAAGAAGAGCAAACAAGTTATTTTTGATCGAAGGTGACTTGTTTTTGGTCACCTTCCAAGTTTACTCACTTTACCTTTTTTATTAGTAAAACAATGAGAATCAAAGATAAAGCACATCTTCTTAATGGAATGAAAGAATAATATCTTGCCAAACAAACGGTAAAAATTTACTCACTTTACCTTTTTTTAAAAGTAAAACAATGAGAATCAAAGATAAAGCACATCTTCTTAACGGGATGAAAGAATAATATACTACCAAACAAACGGTAACCATTAAGTTTAATCACGCAGAAGAATCAAAGGATATGCCTAGCAAATTGCCAGGACAAATAAAGTACACTATAATCGGTCTGATGACACTCGTCGTCATTCTTGTGATTATATCTATAGTCGGCTGGACACAATCATCATGGCGGAGACGTTCATCATCCACAACGCTTATGACGTATGCTGACGGAACGATTGGTCACCCCCCACTTTTGCCAGACGATGGTACTTACGTACAATGGACGTTTCTCCATATGAATGACGTCTACGAACTGCTTCCCTTGAGTAGTGGGACTAAGGGCGGTCTAGCACGAGTGGCTACTGTACGAAAAAAGTTACTCGATGAGAATCCTTTTACATACACATTTCTCGCGGGTGATCTTGTGTCACCATCGGCTTTAAGTCAGGCAAAAGTGAACGGATCAGCGTTAAATGGCAAACAAATGATTTTTGGAATGAACGCACTAGGTCTGGACTACATGACATTTGGTAACCATGAGTTTGATCTTAAACGCGATGATCTTCTTCAACGGATGGCAGAATCAAAGTTTACATGGATTGGCACTAATGTGTTTAATCACTCAGGTACATCAATGTTTGATAAAACTGTACCGTATCAATTGATCATCGTCAAGAACGTACGTATCTTACTATTCTCCATTACAATCGACTCTAACTTGGGCGATTCAACACCTTATGTAACTATTGTGAATTCATCATCGTTAAAACCGTTTGTTCAACAATTTTTAAAGTCTTTGACAATTGAATATGACGTATTGGTAGCATTGACACATCTCGAGATCACCACCGATATCATGTTAGCGGAAAGTGTGCCTGACATTGACGTTATAATGGGTAAGAATTCTTTCATGGTTTCTTCTGACAGTATGTGTTTACATCTTGTATCTGTTTCAAAGGTGGTCATGAACATGAAAATATTTATTTAATACGTGGTCGACGTAACACGGCCATTTACAAAACGGATGGAAATACATTTTCTGTTTTCATTCATCGTTTCGCCTACAATCTGGATAGTAAAATACTTCGTCTCTTCAGTACTCTAGTTCGCATAACACCCGACATCGTGGCGGATAATGAAACAGCATCTGTGGCTAATTATTGGTTCAATGCGGGTATAAATGGATTTACTGAAAGTGGTTATCAACCATACGACGTTGTGGCTCATCTCCCCGAAGGTATTGAATTAGATGGTCGATCGTCATCGATAAGATATTTTTCAACATTGCTAAGTGATTACATTTGCCAGAGTTTGAAGCACGAAACGAACGCGGACATAGGACTTTATCACACTGGTACAATTCGGCTGGACGATATTCTGTCCGGAACGATTAGTCAATATGACATTCTGCGAACGGTTCCCTTTCCCGATATTATCGTAAAACTGACGGTGCCCGATACGATACTAAATCAAGTGCTGACATATGGTGCAACGCAGCAAGGATCAGGAAGGTTTCTATCGTATTGTGGGTTCAATGTGACGAATAAAGTGGAAGGTAATTTGACTTACAGCGTAGCTACATTGGAGTACACAAAAAGTGCAACGGGTCTCAGCGATCCGAGTGTGACAGTAACAGACACGTATGGAGCATTACCTTCAACAGTAATTCGATATCTAAAACTATTATACCCAAACAATAAGGTGTGATTGAATTCTCTGTAAATCCCTTCACAGGGCTGGGCGGCCATTCCAAATGTAACGAACTTACTCTTTTTTCTGTCCGTGACTTTTTCTTCAAAGGCAAAAGAACTAGAGAGCTTGCTTCTACTACAGAATTGTATTAGACACTTAGCTCTACCAACATTGAAAAAAAGAATAGATTTCGGTGGAACAGTACGCCAGGCGAGACGAAATGCCTAGCGTAACGGGCTTACAAAAAACAGAAGTGAACTTTGAAGTATCCGAGAAAAGTGAAAAGTTCAGCGATTGTCTACACTCACGATGGGATTATAATAGCTGATTTTGTGGCTCGGACTTCGAACTTCCCTGTAGTGAAAACCGGAGAGAAAACTACCACTTAATCTTTAATATATTTAATAATTTAATATACACTCGGTGAATTTTGATCTTCAATTTCATCTATTGTTTTCTTATTTGTTGGATATTCATAATAATTATCGTTGTTAGAAATATAAATAGATGAACAACAGCGTGACGAGAGATTCATCTATAATCATGGCTTCGTGATCGTAAACTACCCTAGTGAATGTACTCAAGTGTGAGTACTCAAAAAGTACTCTGCTAGAAAAACCGGACGAGTACTCATACATTTTTTTACTCATTGAGTACTCATATGAGTACTCATGAGTGAGTAACGAGTACTGTGGGTACAACTTTGAGTACTCTTGCTTGGGTATTGTTGAGTACTCATACCACTTTCGGCAAAATACTCATGAGTATTGTTCAATTTTCATATAGAGGGGTGATCTCAGGTAGCAAGAGTAGGACTACAAGTCTAGTCATAGACAAGTCTATCTCTAGTTATATACAGAGAGACTAGTGAGAAAATAATAATATAAATATTCTATGTTTCTATATTCTTTATACAGTTTCAGTTTAGCAAAATAAAACAGTGAATGAATATTTCCTGAGTACTCACTGAGTAACAATACTCAGAAATTGCTAGTAGTACCAATATGAGTACTCATGGACGAATTATGAGTAAAGTCGTACTCATCGTATGAGTACTTTCACTAGGGTAGTGTACAGATTTGGAAC